TTTTACTTGATGTTTAAAAATTATATACAGAAAAAATAGTTTACTTATTCACCCCTTAGAAATATCTTGAAAATTTTACAAATAAATGTAAAAGCTTCAAAAAATAATTAATTGTAATAGTAATATAGAAAAAAAATTATTAATGTTTTCTTCATCAAGGTGATTAACTAACAAGAAAAAATTATTTTTAATATGACCATCAATTAATATGTGATCGAGAGAGTATTATATTTCTAAATCTTTAATATCCATTAAGACAAACAACCAAATTTGATATTTGCAATCATTAAATATAATTATTAAAATAGGAAGATATAATAGAGGACATCAATGAAAGAAAATGAATTTTATCTATATATCTAATCACATTACTAACACAATGATCCCACAACCTAAATATAAATCTTAACTGCTCGTAGTTCTAAGGATAGAAACAATACCTATGAAAGCTTATAAAACTGCTAAAAGAAGATGACAAAAATAAATAAAAGTTTTTTTTATCCCTTTAAAGCTTACCAGCATAAACGGTAACACCCCTCCCTTTTGGAGTGTTCAGGTGATAATTATAACAGCGTGATTATATTAAAAGATATTTATATTAAGTTATATAAAGTGTTAGATTAACTTCAAAAGCAAAAGGAATCGTTGAAACAACATTCTAATTAAAGATTTTTTGTTGACACAAATATTTCAATTAGTTTTAAGCTATTGGTTGTATTTTTGCCCACCTCACATTATTGAAGTGCATTTTACATGTGCTCATTTTCATATCCACAACTTTTCTATCAACTATCAACATTTATTTGTACCACTGTCTTTTTGTTCCTTTGAATTTGTTTTATAGGAAAAGATTTTGTTATGCCCTTTAATTTGTTGGTGTAATATATCATAAATATAAAATATTATCATTGAAAATAAAATGACAAGAAACAAATTTTTAGATTGAGGGGCTGAATATCATTCTCTTTAAAGAGATTCAAGCCCAATGCAATCTAATCTACACTAATTCAACAGTATCGCTCTTAACTCGTCTCCTCTAAAATATATGTCACGCTTCATTTTTCTCAAAACGGGGTATGCAATGATATGACAATCCTTTTAGATTTTGTTTGAAAAGAAGAGTCGTCACCTAACAAATAAAAAGGCGTGTTATGGCACCATTCTAATCTAAGCAATTAACTAACAGGTCTACAAAATTATGATTAGGGTAATGGTCCAAATTACCTCTAAGAAAAGGTGTTAAGAACTACTCGAAATCTACAAACGTAGGTCCTGATCGTATTCATATATTTTATGAGGAGGTTAGACAAGTAGCAATTAAGGTCTTTTGTTTATTAAGTTTAATTAAAGCTACACGACAGAACAAACAAAGATTTTAACATTTAATACAAATAATCAACATTAACATAAACAATTAAAGAAGATAAGTATTTTGTACAAATCGGGCGTCCTGTCTATGAAAATTGCATTTGTATATGTATATGTTCTTCATGTTAGGCTAGAGTAGAGAGCTAGTGAGAATAGCCTCTCTCCTTTATTAAAACTTTTCTTGCATATTGAGGTTTACATAGACCTCTCGCTTACTAAATATATATACATATGGAGTTTACTTAGCCTCCTCGCATAGGAAGCTTACATAGGTTTTTCGTTTATACAATATTCATAACATATAAGAATTTAGTCTAGTATAGTCTTACATTTAAACCATCTAGAATGAGTAGAACATTCGGTCATAGCCCATACTTCATTACAACAAAAGCCACATATATGCTTATACAATAATAGTCTTCAAATGAAAGGGAAAGAAACTAAAGGTCTTTAGACAATAACAACATCAAGTAGCTAGATAGTGGCATCATTCTCGGATGGTGAGGACCTACCAAACTCTTGGGGAATATCCAAGTAGTCTTGCAAATGGCTTTCTAACTTCAACAGCCCTAACCTACATTTTTATAGAAATATAAAGGAAATGGGTTAGTACATCCACTTGTACAAAGTATAAAAACATATACATAAATAATATTTGAAATTATACTTAAAGGAACATTTTGTTCAAAGTCATGTCAAATCACTTTTAAAAGCTTTCATGAACACAACATCACCCAATACAAGTCCATATCCAACATAAGGCCAATATCATGATAAAATCAATTAAGTCGACATGAATACTGCCACATAAGGTCATATCACATGAATAGTAGCATATCAAGACCACATCACCAAAGCAACTCCAACATCATAGCAAAGCATGTACAAGAGTTCATATCATCATATCATACAGGAAACTTATTCACAACCCCATCCCAAGCCTACAAGTGCAATGTCTATATGAAGTCTCAAGGGGCTACCGCAGGAAGTAAGCTCCTAACTTTTTATTTATATATAAATGTTGATAACAAACTCTTATTTCTTTAGTCTCAAATTTTGATCATCTTGCGCTCCTCTAACATGTTCCTTTGAACATATACCTGCAGAATGAGAAGTTAGACTTCATATGTTGGAACCAATTAATACATGTAAAAGAAGAAAATAAAAATTTGAAAAAAAACATTAAAACAAAAAAAATCATAACTATATCATTGAGATGATAGCAATTTTTGTCATATGTAGCATGTATTTTTGATACTGATATAGTGATTGATGAAGTCACGAGAATCAAACACAAGGAAGATAAAAAATCCTTTTATTTTGTAGAGTAGCCTTAGGGAGAGTTATTAGAGGATTAATAATAGTCTTTTGAGTTTTCATAAAGTAAAGAGTTAACAAGGGAGGTGTAACTAAAAAAAAAAAATTTTTTAAAGTTTTTAACCTAGCATATAAATTAAGAAAAAGATAAATATGAATAGTGGTCACTGAGATTGACATGTGCCACATCACCTAATTTTATTTAGCTTTATTATATATAAATTTTTTATTTTTAAAAAATAATAGAAATATAAGGTATAATAAAAATAAAAACTTAAATAAATCATAATAATATAAACTTAAAAATAATAGGTAGAAAAAGGACATAAAGAAAAGAAATATTATTAAAATATTTTTTCGATTGAGGCAATATGTAGACTTTTGGAGATTCTCAATTTAAGGGAGGTGTAATGCTCATTAAGTAACTAACTAATAACAATTTAAGTGTGTGTGTGTGTAAGTGTGTGTGTGTGTGTGCGCGTGTGTGCGCGCGCGTGCGTGCGTGCGTGCTTGCGTGCGTGCGTGCGTGCGCGCGTGTGTGTGTGCGTGTGTGTGTGTTGTAACATATTAAGAAAAGATCTTTTAAATATTTTGTAACTAGTCGACATTTAAATTATGTGTTGTAACATATTAAGAAAAGATCTTTTAACAAGTTAAATACTTGATATAATAAAAGAATTGTAATTGAAGTCGTTACAGTATTAGTTTTCACAATATTTTACTTGATAATAATATTTTTGAATGATATGTCTTGCACTGATCATAATATCAGTTGAATATGTTGCACCGTTAATTAATTCGAGCTTATATTTTATACATCATACACTTATTAAAATTTTATGAAGGATGTTTATGTCGTATATTTCCTTTTTATGGTATATCTTTTTTTTGCTTTACCAGACTTTTTTGGTTTAATATCCATCGCGGCGTGCGATACGACCCTCGAAATGGTATATTCTCTTACCACAACCATGTCTTAGATACAGTGCAAATGACATGCTCAAATGAAAACGAGGAGATAACCATTTTGATAACAAAGCACAATTTACAACAAGGAATATAACACCAACAAATAAGCAACAAGTCTCCAAGTCATTCTCAACACCACACAAGAAAATACACGAATTTCATACGCTTAACAAGAGTTTAGAAATTCACTTGCCTTAGTCAATCGAATAATTACTCTTGGACTTGAGCCTTCCCTTTCCGTTGAGCTTCCAAATCGATGCAATCTATGCAAGTATATATATTCACAATAAGGTTTCAAAACGATCAACACTCTCACTTTTATGTGTTTAACCTTGACCTAAAAATTCACCCACATTTATAATCAAGTTTGTAATTCTTGATGTCAATTAACATTTCAACTATCATAGATTTTGAAGTTTCAAGCCTAGGATTAAATTTCAATTAGTTCCTTCCCAATATCATAATTCTAATGATATTCACTTAGTACTGTACATATAATATTTAATTACACATATCAACCTATCAAAACTTGAATCATAATATAATGACCAAATTATAAAATATGCAGCACTGATTTTATTAGAACAGTACTAACCTAGAACTGATTCTAATTTTTTTTCCTTTTTCCTTCTGCCTAACACCTTGTATTGCAGTCCAATGATTGGCTATTATGACCAATCATTGGCTGCCATTAACAACAAAATACATCCCCAACAATATTTGCCCCATTTTATTTTTTGCTTCTTTTTTTTTCCTTTCTCGAATCACCATAAAGAAAAATTATAATAAATAAAAATAATACTAATATTAGTAACACCATTTTTTCCCCAACTTTTTAAGCCACCAAAAATTCACCATTGTTCCTTCAAAGTAATACAATTATCTATTTATCCTTGCCAACTCATTATTCCACTATAGTCATTAATAAAGAATAATTTGGCACACAACATGATACTTTGTAACAATTTCAAGGGATAATTCATTATTTATTTATTTTTCTACTTAATATAATAGTAATATGTATACATATATGCAGCCACCATTTCAAACAAACATATTTAAAGTTATGCTTAAGGTTACGTGGAACGATGATGCCGCTTCTGTATTCTTCCTGTTTTCTGACTCTCTCTATTTTTTTTCAAATTTAATTGTTTATTAAAACTGACAAACCCACTAACTTATTTTTAATACG